ACATTTCACCGTACCATCATACGTCACATATTTACAGCTAAAACAATCTGATTCCCTATGTCTGATAGCTTCTGAAAGTACAGCTTTGTATGCTTTTTTCATGCACACTATAAAGCTCAATGAAATCTTAAGATGAGAGCAAGGTTTTGAAGGGGTTGTTATTAACAGCTGTACTACTTTGATATGCATTGCCATTGCAAACAAGAGCTTGCTTGCTGTAAGATCAGTTGGAGGAATAAATTTATTTTTTGTTTTAGGACAGGGAAAATGAAAACTATTAAAATCCACTTGAGGTTCTTATTTCAATGCTCTTTGTGAAAGAAAATACCGACAATAGATGGCACTGTGGTTCTGTGACCCAGGGTTATTTCTGTGTAGCGGTGCCACGCTGTTTGCGCTGCTCTGGTGGTGGGGCTGACCCGAGCTGGACACCCGGTGCCCACCAAACTCTCACTGCTCTCTTCAGCCAGGTAGGGCACAGGAAACACAAGGAAAACTTCGTGGGTCGAGATAAGGGGAGGAAGAAGTCACTCATCAATTACTGTCATGGGTGAAACAGACTTGGCTTAGGGAAATTAGTTTAATTTATTGTCAAACAAATCAGAGTAGTCTAATGAGATATAAAAGCTAAATCTTAAAACAACTTCACCCCTCTCCCATCTTCCTGGGCTGAACTTCACTCCTGATTTTCTCTACCTCTTCCCCCAGAGTGGCACAGAGGGATAGGGAATGGGAACTGTGTTCAGCCAGTAGACTTTGTTTCTGCTATTCCTCCTCAGGGAGAGGACTCATCACTTCCTTTGCTGCAGCTCGAGGTCTCTCCCTTTGAAGAGAGTCCTTCATGAACTTCTCCAACATGCATCCTTCCCTCTGCAGTTCTTCATGAACTGACATTGTGGGTCACAAGTCCTGCCAGCAAACCTGCCCCAGAGGGGCTCCTCTCCACTGACTGCCCACAGACGCTGCCAGGAGCCCCCTCAGGACGGGCTTCCCACGGGGTCACAGCCTCCTTTGGCATGGACCTGCTCCAGCGTGGAGTTCTCCCTGAGCTGCAGGGGGATCCAGGCTGCCCTATGGACCTCCCTGGGCTGCAGGGGGATCCAGGCTGCCCTATGGACCTCCCTGGGTTTCAGGGGGATCCAGGCTGCCCTATGGACCTCCCTGGGCTGAGGGGGATCCAGGCTGCCCTATGGACCTCCCTGGGCTGCAGGGGGATCCAGGCTGCCCTATGGACCTCTCTGGGATGCAGGGGGATCCAGGCTGCCCTATGGACCTCTCTGGGATGCAGGGGGATCCAGGCTGCCCTATGGACCTCCTTGGGTTTCAGGGGGATCCAGGCTCCCCTAATGACCTCCCTGGGCTGCAGGGGCTCAGCTGCCTCCCCATGCTCTGCACCAGGGGCTGCAGGGGAATCTCTGCTCCTGTGCCCAGAGGACCTCCTGCCTCTCCTTCTCCACTGACCTCAGTGTCTGCAGAGTTGCTCCTCTCCCATATTCCCACTCCTCTCCCTGGCTGCAATGGTGCAGCTTTTCCCCACTTCTTAAATCTATTAGACCACTGGCACCATCATGGTGGCTGCTGGGCCTATCCTTGGCCAGAGCTTCATCCATCCTGGAGCTGGCTGGCATTGGATCTGTCAGATACGGGCAAAACTTCTGGAAGCATCTCACAGGCCCCACTCCTATAACTTCCTCACTTGTGAAACCTTACCATGCTAACAAATACACCTTATTAATTTTAACCTTATAGTTCTATTTCTTAGGGAAATTAATTTAGTTGGCTTTCTACTGTTGCAAATACACAGTTTCTAAGACTGAAAATTACTAAGCTGTGTGTACTTACCCAAAGAGTACCTCTTCAGTAGAAGGATGGTTGTCCTTAGAAAAAGCAAATGATTACAATGGCTAATTTTGGACCAGTTTACTGAGATAGTTAAAGTCTGCAACATGCTCTTTCTTTTTCTCCAGCAAAACATTTAAAATTACTTTAGCCTTTAGCAGACATTGCACTGAATATTTATGGGAGAAATAAAACCAAACAAAATTAGCTATTTAACACAAACCTCCAGTTTATAAAACAACTGATTGCATTTGAATATTTTAATCTGCTTTACTAGCAGTGCGATCAGACAAAACAGTAAAGCATTGAAACACCATTTTACATTAACATTACAAAATACAATAAATTTTTTCTCTATGTATTTACATAAGCAAACATATAGGTATTCAAAATAGAATGCATCTCACCGTCTGGCAATAATTACATAAGTACAGTGCATGGTTGACTGGATGGGAGAGATACATAGGAATTTTTACCCTGAAGTGTAAAAAGGATGCACACCAGCTTAGGAGATACATGGTGAGCTTCATGTCTTTGGACATTTTTCAGATGCAGTTTTAAAAGTAATAAAATGTCAATCTACTTGAAAAATTGATGCTGAACAGTTTTTTCAGATGAAGTAGTTTTTTTGGATGCAGATATGACAGACTGACTCAGCATGCTTTTCCTGTGAAGTAGGGGAAGGCCCTAACCTCTGAACCAGTCTGTATAAATGTCTTCTCTTTTTTTTTTTTTCAACCTGAAAAATTATAAAAAATTCCATTCCATTCTTATGCATAATGAAAACACAGTTTTTTGGAAGATGGAAATGCTGCTCTGAAGCTGGTCGTATTAAACCATGATGTTCATTCCAAGCATGGGCCAAGTGCTGTAAATCCTAGTTTAAAACAGCTGAACTTTTGTCATCTGTCTGCAGTATAATGACTCCATTAATTGCTATCTACTGATGAACAACCCCTTGCAGATTTGGCATGGTGGCTAGAACAAATTCATATCCTGACTCTGTCATCCTCACTAAGGCAAACTGCACAAAAATCTATTAATATTTTGATGCAGGGTGGCAGAATCAGGCCTTTCTAAGTCAAAAATGTCCATAAAGAACTGGACATATTGGTCTTTGCTGTGCATTCTTGGCCTTGAGAGGCTACTTAGGCAAAAGCTGCTGACCACTCAATAAAACCGTCTGAGTGCTACAGAATCAAAATGTCAGGCATCAGTTTTCCCTGCTTCTAAGCAAAAACTCAGTGTTATGTTCTCTCCAGCTGTCAATTAATGAAATGCTGTTAAGTCTGTTATGTCCAAAACATAGGTTTTATTTTAAAATAAGCTGGGAAAAAAAAGATTGTTCAGAGTCACCTTGTAATGAAACTTCAAGCCAGTAATCGAAACCCTCTGTGATTGTAGTGAAACATTCCCTGTCAGTATTTGCAACCTGAGCAATTTGACATTGTGAACAAGGAACAGAAAATGAAATGAAAGAGAAACAGAGGGCTGATCTGCTCTGCCACATGGGCAAAATGCAGACAGTGAGTGGAGAGCAGAAGCATTGAATGTGAAATGTCCAGTAACAGTTTATCAGCTGCGAGCTGGTGAAGGGGACTCTGCAGAGCAGCAACTGGGTCCTCAGGAGATTTGGGAGGAATTGAGCTCTGGAGAAGGGCAGGGTGCCATATACATCATACAGGAAGAAGGTGGGGTCTGCTGCCTGGCACAAATGGGCCATAAGATCCAAGCTGTCTGTCCCACCTACTGCTTTTGATTGCAAAGCCAGAGAAACTTGCATCAGGTCAGACCTAAGTGGCAAAAAATATGGTGATTCCCTCCCCTGGTGGAAGCCTCTTTTTTTCCTTTCCCCTCACATGCAGGTTTAGAGACCTTCGGTCCCCTGTCAATATTCATCATATGAAGGCAATCTGGTTTGGGTACAGATCTAGAGCCTCAGACTCTTCTCACAAAACACCTTTGCTTTTATTACTGCCTGCTTATTCCCTGAGATACCTGTTTCCAAAGGCAGATCCTCAAAACCATCACCCCAGTTGTGGAGTGGAGACATCTGGCCTGTGGGATACAAGATGGGCATTGTCCTTAGCTCAAAGTACTAGATTTAGGGTCAATATCAAACTTGACAGGAAAGAGTGGAAAGTCACTGCTCCCAGCCACTGCTATGGTAGTCCTCATACTCAGCTGCATTTAGCAGATTCCCCCTGGAATCTCTTTGCCAGTGTGACACTCCTCACACAGTGCTGGGCAGGAGCAGGATGTGTGCATAGGGAGGTAGGAGCATCGAGTTCATTTTTGCTTCTGCTGAAGCTGTTCAGTTTGACTGAGATGGTCAAATGTACCCAGAGATCGAGAGAGCACATAAAGCACCTGGTAAGCACAGCACTTTTTCCACTTGATTTATCAGTTCATCCTAAATGACCAGTTTTGGGGGAAACCCATGAATGTCTGTGAGGTGATAGGTGACATGCACGGCATCATCACTGCAAATGGGGCTACAGCATGACACTTTGTCTCAGACTTGGAGGCTGAGGTCTGTGGGGTGAGTGTCATCATGTCATCATGTGCATGCAGAGCTTCTGTGCGACCAGTGCACAGTGGCTCCTACCTATCCCATGTCAGAAGAAAGGCTTCATAAAACTAGTAGATTTAGTTTTACCATGTATATGACAATAAATCAGTTTCGTGGAAATCAGTCAAATACCCAGCCAACTTTTAAGTCCTTGTCTGCCATAGAACAGTATCTTAAGCTAAAGGCCTTCTTCTTCCAAAGACTCACACCTGGTAGACTAGAAAAAGGTTCACTTTGTCTCTCTGTCTCTCTCCTCTTTGACTTAGTGGAAATTTAATTGCTCTGTAAAAACTGAACAACTTCAATAGAAGGACAGATGAAGGCATTGGAGTTTTTCTTCTGGATGGGCAGTATTTTTTCCCACAGAAACTGGAATACATCCTGGTTCTGATGAGGTTATGGCTGAAAAAATAATGGAATGAATCAAATGATTTGATTTAAACTTTGCATGTGGGTACAGCATTTAAATTTGTCCTCTTCAGCAAAGTCTCACTGCCCTCAGTGACATCGGTTATGATATCATGAAAAGAGTTTCATGACTAAGCACATCTGTCAAGCAATGTATTTTATGTTCTTTAAGCAATGTATTCTGCCCTTGGCTCTATGCAGGTGAAATGCAGTGCTGTTTACAGGTCCTGTTATTTTTCAAGTGAGCCCCATTTGCCCATACATATTTCATTAAGGCTGAGTCCTAGTAGTGCAATCTTCTGACCATTCCTGAGCAATCTGCCTTAACAGCAATACAGTCAAACAAGGGAAAACTATTTTTAGTAACAAACAGTTTTCTAATAATTCTGGCTTTACAAGCCCTAAACCAAAACCAGAACATTCTTCATAATGGCCCTTTTTTACCAAGGAGAAGTGATGAGAGAGAATCTACTTCAACCTTTTACTGAAGACTTTACTCATGCAGAGTTTCCTCTGACATTACTTAAATCAGACTTTGTTGGAACTGAACAGAGTCGTGAATCTGGAAGTGGCGCTGAAATTATTTAGCAATGTTGTGCCTGGTTTTCCACTGTTCTCTCACTTCACCTTCCTGTCAACACCAGTGGGAGGGAGCAGGGAATTAAGACCAATAATTTTGAAAATATTACTTTCAATTTTTAAGCTGAACACATGAAATTTTTGAATGCAAATAATTTGCTAGTCCTGAAATAAAGATTATAAGTGTTGGTGGAAACAGAGGATAATTCAAGTATAATTTACCTTTGAAGATTGCTTATTTGAAATACAGAACAAATGGCAGAAAAAACCAGGGACATTTCAGGATGGTTACTGAGGAAGAAAAAACTGCATAAAAACAGTTAACAAAATGTCCATATAATTAATCTATAGCAGTTTTAATAGATTTTTTAAATACTTTAAGATTTATTTTAAATATATATTAGCAAATGAACCATCATTTTGTTTAAAATTCTGTAAAGTGCTCATTCAGTTAATGATAACAAAACTCATTTGTAGCAAGACAAACTAGCTGGAGCCTACTTTGCAAGAACATCAAAGGACAGCTTAGCTTTCATTTGCAAAGAGAAAAGAAATGCGTAGGTTTCTTCACAGCCCATATTATAATACCAGAAATTGCATTTTTTTTTCTTTAAGAAATATATCCTTTAGAATATTAAAAAAATAAGTTTAATAAAGCCTGTGCTTAAAACAGCCAACGTACTGTATGAAAAAAAATTGCACATTTGATATCCCTTCAACCCTGCTTTTCATCCACAGGATAATGTGAGGAGTACAGGATGTTGTTGGAAGGTCTCTTGAACACAGCTGATTTTCCTAAGCTATCAGAGCTTCTCACAGCAGGTGGAATTATCAGCACACACAGAGTGGCTCTCAGGGCAGCTGCTGACCATCACACACCACTAACCTTTTCGTTCCCTGGGCCGGTACTTCCCTTGGAGGTACCATCTAAACGATGTGTTCCTATCGTGACTGCTGAGTAATCTTTGGCCATCATTTTTGCCTCTTTTTTCAAGCTCTTCATTTGTGCTAGCTGGAGCTGTCTGGAGTCATATGCAAGTGCTGGGATAGTGTTCACTAAAATCAGCTGGAAAGGTTTCTTCTCCTCCTTGTAGCGACACTGGATATAGCGAGAGAAAGCTGAGCGGTAGGTTTTGTTGAACAATGTGTACACGAGTGGGTTGACAGCCGAGGAAAGGTAGCCAATCCAAACAAATATGTTAAGGAGTCCTCCAATGACCTCTTCTTTGCATGACTCCTTGCAAATAACAGCCATCACATTGGTGATGAAAAACGGGCACCACATCACAACAAACAGAAAGAAGACAATGCCAAGGACCTTGGAAGCCTTCTGCTCATTGCTGATGGATTGCATGGTTCTCCTCCCTGAAGTCCCCGTATCTCTGTTCAAGGAGCGCTGAAAGAGTTTCTCTGAGGACAGGGAACTCTGAGGGAGGAAGCTGAATGAGGTAAACTTGGTCTTGGGGCCAATGTCATTCACACATAGCATAGCTTCCTTCTGCAGCGACTTGATAGTTAAAAAGTAAGTGACTACCATGATGGTTAGAGGGATGAAGAATGCCACAAAAGAGCCTACTAGAACGAAATTTTCATCTGCAAGTAAGCAGATGTCTTTCTTAAACATGTCCTTCTTAAATACTTTGGAGTCGTCTTGTAGTCCAAAGACGGGTACAGGCATGGAGATACCTGAAGGTGGATGAGAGAAGAGGTTAAAAACGAATGAAAAACACTTCCAGACTCCAAGAAAAAACAAAGAAACATCTACCTGTGTTCTTCCTGTGGCTGAGGTGATCGTAGCTATACACATTACCTCAGTCACACGTAGAACACATTTGCTTCCTTTCACCTGTCCTATGATACCTGGTAGCCAGAAAAGCATCATTTTGAATCTTGGGCCCCTTATAATAATCTCCAGACTTGCTCCTTGGTCCTTGCCACCTTGGCAAAGGATTTTATGAACTATGACCAAGATGACACTATGTATTTCTTTTCTGGAGTGCCACAAGAGTGATTTTGGACTGTTTTTCATTAGAGGATTAAAAGTGTTCTGGCTTCTAAATAATTCTGGGAAATACTAATTTTAGGAGGAAAGATAATTTTTTGTCATAGGTCTAATCTTTCATTTTGTCTTTCTCTTTTCTTGCTGCAATCTCCATATAGTTAAATGCTAACAAAACCCAGCTTCCCATGTGGCAATGGCCAGATGAACAACAGGAACAAATTAAGCACTGAGAGAGACTACGAGGCAGCCTGAGATATAGTTTATCCTGCAGGACTGCAAAAGTCCTTCCGCTGTATTTCCAGCTAATAGAGGCTGCCTTCTCTGCACACAGCCATGCAAAATTTGTCTTCCCCTGAAGCATGCATCCTTGGCTTGTCATGAATGGCAAGACAAGGTGACAAAGTCCATTCTCCTTGGACTGCTCTGATATTTCAAGCCTACTCAGCCATTTCCGCAGGGATTTCTGCAAATGCTGCTACAGTCTGGGTAAAATCTAACAGCTGCTGTTTCTCTGGTTGTTGGTTTTGGGTTGTCTTTCAGAATTTGTCTCTTCCCCTCCAAATGTATGCTGTCTCTCCAAGAGAGGCAGTGTTCAGACAATGAAAGAAATTATGTGCTGCAAAGATAGCAAAAGTGGAGTGAAGCAGGGGGTGATATTGCAGCCCTGTTTGGATAAAAGCAACCAGGATTCTGATTCCTGTGGAAAGTTAGCATAATCTGTGAGCTTCAGTCCCGTTTGCATTTTGGATCAGAAATCTCAGTTGCTGTACTTGGCTTATGAGAAATAAAAACATTGACTACAGAAAAATTTCTTATGATGTGAGTATGCTGTGCTCTGCTTTGCTCAGTGGATGCCCAGGAGTGACCTTACTCATTCACAGATAAGTCCTGAAAGATCTGCATTTCAATGGTACCTTCCTCTATCTCACTTTTATTTCCCTTCTTCCCACTCTGCTGCCTAAACTGGGAGCCCTTTAAAAGCATAGCCTGTCTCTTCATTTCACACATATCCAGTGCCCAGCATAACAGCTCCAGTCCTAGAGGAAGACTGTGGAGTACAGGCTCAATACCAAACAATAAAAACAATATTAGATTATTATTCTGTTCAAGTGCTTCATTCTTTTTGTTCTTCTGGAGCTTCTACAAAGATTTTTTTTTCTAGGAACACTGTAGCTTATTTTGTCTTTGCAACTTTGAACTGAGTCATGGCATTGCCTCGGGCCACTTTAGAAAAATGCTTTTCTTATCTGCCCAGGGCAGAAGCTGGTGGAGACCCTGTGGTATTACCCTTTCTGTTTCTCCTGCTCAAACTCTAAATGTTTGAACTTGGGCTTGGAGAAGCCAGTGAGTGAGCTGCAAACCTAAGCAGTCTGTGGCAACTCCTGAGCTGAGCTGACAGAAACCTCCAGTGTTTTTAGCTACTGGCTAAAATGGTCAGAGTCTGTCTCACTGAAAGCATGGAGGCAGAGGTCACCATCAGAAGTCAGACAATCCAGCCATGGCTGAGTAATCTGGGGTGCTGAACAACTCCAGGGAAATGAAGAATGCTTTGAAGTTAGTTTTCTTTTTTTGGATGAGTCGAAGGGATGCTGAAGGCATCCAGCACCTCCCAGCATCATACTCCAGCTGCACAAAGACACAGCATTAGTCAGAGCAATACCACAAGTTTCCCATCTGCTTCTGCCCTGTGCTGATAACAGCGAGGCTGTTTTTCAATTTAATTCAAAGACCTAGCGTGAGCTGCAGAGATAAAATAAACAGTGGTATTGACAGAGTAAAAAGATGCTTTTCATTACTACCTTATGGTTCAGCTGCATGAGGAGGCATGGGAGCAGAGGCTGCAGCACTAGAAAGAGGAAAATTTTAGCATAATTTGCATGCTTTTTCAAGTAAAGAGCCAAAGTCTGTTACAACGTCTTGCCTGAAACAAGAGGAGCAATTCCCCAACTGCTTTGTTTTGTTCTTAGCAGCTTCTGCAGAGTGGCATCTAAATCCAGATTTCTGGCTTTTAAAAAGGGAAGTGGCCTTCAGTGTGCAGCAGAAGTTCCTGCATTTCTTTGCCATTCCTTTAACAAGCATGGAAGTGCTGTAGCAGCAGAGCTGTAGCAGGCACTGCTAGTCATGTAAGTTTTTCTGAGTGACCATTCAAGGCATCTTTCCCTTACAGCCACAGGGAAGTGGCCTGTATAGAGTTTGAAAACAGCAGAGATACCACGCTTTGGTGGCAGAGAACACTGACAGCTGTAAACTGCTTTTTGTGTAACCCCAGTTCAGTTGATGCAGGGCATCCCTCAAATGATACGGTGGCATTCCTGCATGGAAAAAGTTAATGTCCAGCCCAATTTTCTCTTTTCATATCTCTACGGGGACTAAGTTTACTATTTTCCTCCTGAAAGGAACAGGGTTTGTCCCCCCTCAACAGTTGGCTTCTGCAGCATAAGTATGGCAAATTCCATTAGGACACAGGGACCAAATTCAAAGGCAGTCATATTTAAACTGGCAGTAAAGGAGCTTCCATGCACAACTCACATCCACTATTTTGATGGGATTTTTAGGAATCATCACCTATGGCCAAGAATATCACCCATATGTCATGTTTGGTCAAGATCAAGTTTGTCCTGTAAACCCATAACAAAACGTCCTAGTCTAAAGTTGCATTAGCATTATTGCAACTGACTGAATTAATTCTTTAAAAGCTGAATATGAATGATCTATTTCACCTGGGTGATTCAGATGAATACTCATTGGTTTACTTGTCTTTGCTTTCCAGCTCCCTGCTCTTGGTGACTGGATGTTTAAGGAGACACAGATGGTGCCTGTGCATTCAAATGTCAGAAGAAGAAAATCAGCTTCACGCAAAAGGATCATGCAGAGCTACCAGGTAGGGACAAACAGGTGGTTGGGAAGTGAAGCATGTGCCAACAGTAGATCTGAAGGAAACAATCTGGAAGGGCTGTAACTGCTATTCCACACCCTGCCCATTCCATGCTCCTACTAGCTGAAGGTCAGTCTGGAAAAAAATCTTTGTATCCCCTGAGGGCTTTTTTATGATTTATCTTTCTTGGCTTTCAAAAGAACCTTGACATTCAGCACAGAATAGGAGCATCCATTCAAGCACTGAAGGTACATTAGCCACTTCATTTCCAGTTGACATTCCCACTTGGAACATTTTCCCTTGTCAACAAGCCCTAAATATTATGTTCCTCTGGCACAAGGTGGTTTATTTAGATGGTTTGATTTATACACATGTGGCTGTTTCAAACTGTGGATTTTAATAAACCGCACAACAGATCCCAAACAATGAAGATGAGTAATGAATTCTCTATTAAACCTCAAGAATTTGGGCACAGTTTCAGATTGACAAAAGGCTCTTGAAAACACCAAAGGTTAAGAAGTAAAGCAATGGCATCTCTTTTTGTTCTCTCAAAAAGTCTGCTGAAATTGATAAAGGTTGATATAGCGCTACACATTGCTGGCTTCAGAGGTATACAGCAGCCATAAAACCACTTTAACTGGACAGGTAAACTGGGTTTGCAGCTGCCTTGAGCTGCTGAGACTATCAATAAATCAAAGCCATAATTTACAATGTGCATGTAGGGTGGTACTCTTGGGTTACTTGGGGTGAAGACAAGGAGGGGGAAGTGAATTGATAAGGTCAAGGTTCTTACAGTGAAGTCTCCATTAAGCAGAAACTGTCAGTCACATGCTTTCACCTTGCATATATCTATTTCAATTTTGTTTAATACAAATGAGCATTATTCTGTGCCTTAATAAATGTCTAAGGGTTAGGAACTACCTTTTAGAAATGTCTCTACGATTTCTCAAAAACTTTGGCACCTTTGTTTACTTTCTCATAAAAAACAAAAAACTCTCCCCATCTCAGGTCTTAGCAGTCACTTTGATTCAGACATACCAGGTCATGGGCCAGCTCACGGGTCACTGCACAAAGATGTGCTGTGACACTGGGGACCTCTGAAAGGATTGTGCTTGACAAGGCCAGTGTCTCCTTCAAGCAGCTCAATGGGGCCATATTGTCTAATTTCTTTAGAAAAGCCCATGCTGGTATCTGGTGCCTGTTGGTGCTCAGAAAATATCCTCTGTCGGTACATCTACACATTCAAACAGTACACAGATGTCCATGTATAACTCACCTGCTACATCCCAAAGCATGCAATGCAAAACCTCAGTTTCATGCTGTATGAAAAATTCCTTGTTGCACACTGACATCACATTATTTTTAACATTTTTGACTTAATTAACCACACAAAAGAATATTTGTTCCTTTGGGCTACCATGGTGCCATGTGTGGATGTTTGCTCAAGGAACACAAGCCACAGTGAGTCACTTGTTGCAGGGGACCATGGACCATGTCTTCCTCTGAGTATCAAGAATGGAAATGTGTCTGGATCTTATATGAGGAGCTGAAGTTTAGCAACAGTTACTTCCACTTAAACATCTGCAGAGGAGCTGCTCAGTCTGGCTTTGTGTCTCTGCTTGGCATTTGACACTCACCATTATGGTTGGTACATCCTTACATTTCATTGTCATTACATCATTATTTTCCCAGACCTGCAAACAGCTGCTCTCTGCATGCACCTGACAATGTTATTCCCCCACTGACTCCTTTCCAGTCATGACAAACCCTTCACTGTGATAATTTAGTTGCTGCCAGAGTAGTGCCAGC